ACAAAAAAAGAGGCCCTTCTCCAGTGACAAACAACCAAGCAAAATGACCAGACCAAAAAAAAGGGTTTTTATAAGAAAAAAGCTTACCCCCCCCAGGCCCTTTTTGGGGGGCTTGGCGCCCTGTATAACCCCCTTTATTTTTTTTTTTCCCTCACCCCCCCCCCCCCCCCCCGCCTCCCCCCTTGTCCCTACCGCGAGGGATAGTTTAATAGCAAAGTGAAAAGAACATTTTCTACACTGGTACGATCTTCATATTTAGTTTCCTTGGGGATAAAGTCGACTCGCGTCAGAGTTCAAGTTCGCTAAAACCTAGCTACTCCTCCCTATAATCCATATAGGTGTATGCTGTCCTCCCAAACAGTACGGGTTTTGTGCCGTTTCGGTCTGAAAACGCCGGGGTGTAGGGTTTGCCCATTTTGGTCTAGAATCGGGTATGGTTTTCGAGGGAACTACGCGATGACGTATGAATATTCAGAAAGAAATAATACATGCAAATTTAGTACGATGGAATTGTAAGAAATCTTTTAGTTTGTGTTCTTATCTAAACAATGATGACAGGATTCCTGCCTATGCTTGGTTTGAAAATGGGAATGGATTTTAGTGGACAGATCTGAAAACAGGTGTGGAAAATGACATTTTTCTGTCTGAAATAGGGTCAGGACACTCGGAGCTGCTGGAGAAACCGGAGGCACATCCCAACCAAGAATTCCCAGGCGAAACTCTTCCTAGGGGTCCCCTGTCATTCACAAAATGATATTTTGTATCTACCCTGCGAAAGTAGGTTTCTCCCTTGCATGGCTTCTAACGTATACGAAGTCGTTCACGTCGCTTGTTAGTCTCGTATAAAAAGCACGACCAACGCGAATTACAACTACTAAAAGCCATGCACTGAGAGAGAAACCTCAGCTCGCACATGGGGTATTTAGTATCAAAAGAGAAGTCTTGAGTTGTTTTTCTATTTTAATAAAGTTACATTTAGTTTCTTCTATTACGTTTCTTGAAATTCGAACCAAAAACTAACAAAAAACTAAATAAATACTTTTTACTTAAAAGCACAGTGCTTGTCTGAGAAGAGCGCGATTGTTAAAAGAAGAGAAACAAAAATGAAAAGATAAACATTTTTCATCAAAATGTCTAGATTTGGTAATTCTGAAAGATTTTCTTTCTAATATAATGACAGGTCATTTGCTTCGTGGAAGAAGAGAAACCATTAACAGTTTACAGGATACGGCGGATTATTGAATCTACAACATTGGCGAGAGTAAATTAAGAAACTTTTTCTTGTCATCAGAACTGATTAAAAGTGCATGTGGACATGCGCTGGATGAGTTGCTCCTGCTCTGTTTCGTTTATTCGGCAAGTAGTGAATCTAAAGCAAAGAAAAAAAGGGAGAATAAGTCTTTGCAACATGTATGAACCTCCTAAATTTTGACTACGATAAAACGGCTTTACATACAAATAGTATTTTCATTGATACAATAAAAACGGATTCTGCCTGCACGCAATGCTGGTATTCTCGTAGCCCCACAGGACATTGTAGACAATCGAGTGGAAGTCTCGGGGGAGTCCTTTTGCCTAAGTAAGCAAGCTATCCCGTGATTTCAGTCTCTTTTGCCAAGTAACCCCGTTCTTAACCGGGGTTACAATTTTTTACCCTCCCACCTCCCCTTCGGAGACGCGTGTCCCCCTCTCCGTTCTCTGTCTTACGACCCTCTGCCTTTGCAAAATCTCGCTTCCTATAACTTAGTTTCGCGAAGGCAGTAAGTGTTGTTCTGAATGTGAAAATGGTTCTGACTATTTTCTTCCTGTTTCGTGGGATTTCAGGCGCGCACTATTTTCACACTGACTGATTTGATGTTGATGTTTTAATAAAATTTGGTATCCTTAACTAGGGGTCTGGAAAAGGGGGTCCTAAATTTCTGTCACATCCCCAATATCGTTTTCTTTCCCAATCTCACATCCGTTCCCAAATTTTATCGAATCCCGCTGCTCGGGTAGCAACCAAATCCCGTGACCCGATAACGTTTCCCAATACCCGCTCTGTATTTTGGCCAAATCCCGTATCCCGATAATGATCTCCGAATCCCGCACTGTATTTCAGTCAAATCCAGTGTCATGATAACGTTTCCCGAACCCGCTCTGTATTTCAGTCAAATCTTGTGTCACGATAACGTTTCCCGAGTCCCGCACTGTATTTTGCCCAAATCCCAGTCACATTTCCTTCGAATTCTTTCAAACAAAGTACATTTTTATTTTTCAACCCGTTCCTTTTCGTGCACCTCCCGCTTACTAGACTCTCACTATTACACGTTAATAAGAAGACCTCGTTACTTATGAAGCAAGAGAGAGCAAGATTTCAGATCTCATGTCCCGACGGTGGTCTTGTAAATGAAGGCTCTGTACGTTAAAAAAAGAAACAGAACGAAGAAGATTGAAGATAGAACGACTTGCCTGCTTCTCGCCCGTTAAACCAGAGTAAGAAGCAAATGAAATATCAAAATCCTTGGCAGCAGATCTCGTCGATGCGCAAGCATCAGAAATCGGAAATGAGTTCTTTGTTGAAGAGCAGAAGTCCTTCTCACATCTGTCGTGTTTGACGGGGCATTTAGACTTGAAGGATAACAATTTTCTGTAAATTGAAAAATCAAGGAAAGCTTGTAAAGTTAGGGATTTCACTAGTTTACAAAATGTTAAAAGTCGAGAAATTCCTCTGCTTTTCTTATGTTTTTCATATTTACGAGACAGTGCAATTCGAGCAGTTAAATAAGGCTGCTAAAAGTTCTAAACTAGGTATGTGAAAGGAGCATCATTTGTCAATAAGGGTATACGAAAGGGGTACATTTTCGGTCAAAAATTGTATATATTAGCAAGTGGTTGAACCTCGGGGCAGGGCCTTTCTGTATAAAACCTTTATTGAGTAGCCCCTCCTCCCCCACCCTCCCCTCCTTCCCGGGACTTATAGCACTCCTATTGTCCCCCTTTGCTGCGCCGATTGACAGATATTCAACTAGCATGTTCATGTCTGACTTCTTTAGATACACTAATGCAAATCATTCAGCTCACCTGGGAAATTTAAAGAAACGTGAGCCACGTGACTTCTGTCTGTGTTTTTCACAGTATTTGCACAGGCATCCCACTTGTGGGTTTGTTTTGTGATCACAGTAACTGTGTTCGTCGCCGAGCGGAGGAGTTAGGTTGGTTTCAAATGCAGCTGGCTTCAATCCCTTGCGTTTCTTTTGCTTTTCATTCTGCTTTCTTTGTTTCTCCTAAAGAAAATTTAAAGTTAAGTCTATAAATTTAACCTCATATAAAAGAATTTTGATCTGTCATAAGGAGGTATAACGCCGTGGAACTGTGACGAGCAAGAATTTTGTTGAAATGTTACTTTGAGTTACGAAGATGAAAAGCGTTAGCCTAAATTTAAAAAAAACAGCACCACTGCTTCCTCCCTCACAAAATGATATCTTAGGAATGAATGCAGGAGTTCCATACTTTAGACGATTCACTACCCAGATATAGGGTAGTTAATTACTGTGGTGCCGTATGGGGTAATATCAATAAGGGACTAGCAGACAAACTTCAAAAGCTGCAGAATAGGGCTGCTAGAATTCTCACCTTTTCTAACTATGACGTTCGCTCAAGTGTTTTGTTGGATGAGCTTGGCTGGGAAAGGCTAGAATATGTAAGACTTAAACAGCTGGCTGTGACAATGTATAAAATTCATAATAATCTTTCCCCATCGTATCTGAGGCGGATCTTTACCAACACCTCAAATGTACATTCACACAATCTTAGAAATTCTGAGTTAAATTATTATGTCCCCAGACCCAGAACTGAGTCTGCAAAAGGGAGCCTACACTACAGAGGATCTGTTCTGTGAAACAAGATTCCCTCAGAGATTAGAAAACTGCCTAGTTTAAATGTTTTTAAAACTTCAATTCATGGGAAAGATTTTTCTAATACACCATGACCCATTGTAACTCTTATTATTCATAATGTAAGTTTTTGTATTTTTAACATTATAGTCAATAGTTCTTAGAGTATTTTAGTTTAGTTTTAAACACGATTCCTAGGAAGACCATGTAAAATGATACGATTTCGTGTATAAATAAAGATTGATGATGATGATGATAGGTAGTGTTATTAATCGGATGAAAATTTGCCTTGACTAATCAGATGCACTTGACCCTGATGAGGGTACTAAGTAAAAATCAGCACCAAATATGGCTGTTTGTAGTCTACACTGGTCGACTGGTAGTCTACACTAACGCAAGAGTAAATTATTTCTGGAATAAACACCTACCATCAATTTTGCTCTATTCTTGTAAATTGAATTCCACTTATCATTTGCTTCTTTGCTGCATGATGAAGAACATTTCGCTCCCGCTCCCGCTCCCGCCGGGCTTGGAAGAAATTTCTTTTCCCCGATTTCTTCGATGCCAAGTTTGTTTTCTTCCGAAAACAGGGTAATTGTTGTTGAAGTCCCTTAAAGATTACAGAGGATGAGCTTTTGAGTTGAACAGCAAACTGAGTTAATTCGAATATCTTCTAAAAGCCTCGTTTCCTTTAGCTGTGTAAGTCATTAACATAACCTGCTTACGATAAGACGAGGACTCTTGTTCCCCATTGTTTGCGCGTTCAGTGTTAAAAAATTTCTCACTCGTCCCAGGTCCCGAATATCTCAGCCTCGTCCCCAGAACGAGGTTAGGAATTCTGACAGCCTGTAACAGGTGGAATTGCGAATATTATTGAAGCCTTCATTCCGCGCACCGTTAAACACATTGACATTCATTTATTTCCTCTTTGACAAGGAAAGTAGTTACAGCGTGCGAGAACCTCGCTCCCAAATCAAGAGAAGCAAAAGAAAAAAAAGAAAAAGAGTGCGAAAAAAGGTTACGCTCACTATTCAAGTGCAGAGGCTGTGTGTAGTATCCTGTATTTTCACTGGAAATAAAAAACATCACCAAAAGACTTACCGCCGAGATCGGGTCCCATGGTCATCGTTAGGAGATTTTTATCGGCGCTAGTCAGGCCAGAAATCTCGAGTGTTGCGTTTTCGACTACCATCAAGCCATCCTTTCCCTCGCTGGTGACGTCAGAGATTTCAATAATCACCTCATCAACCTCTATCACGTCACTCTCCTTTTCACTTGCAGCCCCGGAAAGGTCAATAACGACATTTTCAAACTTCGTCACAACATCTTTGACTTCACCTCTCAGACCGTTTTCAGCGGTCACTTCCCAGTTATCCTTAACATCCCCAGTCAAACCGGAAGAATTTATGGTCACGCCAGGTGTGTCACTTGCAGTGCTTTCCGCGAGCCGTGCAACGTGTCTTTCATTCTCTCCTTTCAACCTCATTGTTGTTGTTTCAGCTCTTGATTTCTTGCTTGCGTGGAGAACAACTTCATCTTCGTCGTCTTGAATTGTCAATATTACATCACCTGTTGCTGCCACAGGAGTTTTGCAAGACTCTCTGGATGAGCTACCACTCTCCGTTGCCAAGCAAACTGTCCGTGTTGATTTGTCAGAGGCAGAAGGACTCAAATCGAAGCTTGAAGAGAGCTTGGGCGTGGCCTGATATTTCAAGGGAGATGTTTCCAGGAGTGTCTGACTTTCTGCAGTGAGTAAAGAGGACTCTGGTTCGATGGTCAGTGTAATCGAAGGCTCAGACGATGGAGCGTCAGTAACGACTTCCGGTTCAACGGTTGCTAAAGCTACGTGGTGGTAGTTGAGTTCCGGTTTGGGCTCCAGAGCTTCTGTAGAAGTTCCTGTCGGTGAGGAGCAGTGGGTTTCAAGTTCTGTAATAATAAGAGATGAGGCTTCCGGTTCTGCTGAAGTCATATCGAGTGAGGAAACCGACGTCAAAGATGACGAAGATTGAGGAGTTCCAGAAAACAACGAAAACACATCAGATAAAGACGAACAGGTAAAGGACGTATCCGGAGAGCTCAAGTCAGGTATATCAACATCAACACAGGGGTCGACTTCAGGAGCATCAATAACAAAAGAGACTGGACTGGGTTCAGAGAGATCAACAATGGTACGAGCAGTAGGTCCTTCAGAAACAGGATTTGAGTCAGGAATATCGATCACCACGCAGGAATTGTCCAAAGAACATCCAGAAACTGCCATCAAAGGTGTGGATTTTGGAGTGTCTGTTAGGGTCCATGGAGATTGGGCATCAAAGTGTGTTGCTGCCAGTTGGTAAGATGGCGGATTTGGTTTGGGTTTATAACTAGCAGAGTCCCTTGATGTCCGCATCCCGCAGTTCAGATTGGTCCTCTCAAAGATTATCTCTTCCTCGCTAAGCTGCTCGCTGAGGTTAGTCAGTGAATTGAAGTTCCAACCAAGGTCAGGATATTTTCTCCGCAAGCATCTTTTCTTACACATTCCCCTGCAATAACAGTTACGGAAAAAAAATAAGCTATTGTGGATGATGGCAAGTGTCAGGAGCCGGGTAAACAATACACTTGTAACAAACTGGTTGAGTGGACAGTGAGGGAGAGAATCAAACAGCTGCTAATTTCTCTAAACTGGGAAATAACACAGTGATAACACCTGGCGGAGGGGCTAGGAAAGAGATATTACAATTCCTTTTGTATATGAAGAATGCGCACGATCCTCGATATACAACATGCTATACCGTAGCGCAACCCTAGTTATAAAATCCGCCATTGAAGACGCGTGCAACACAAAACTATCAGCGACTTGATGCTCTTTCTTTTTGTTTGTAAGGCCATGACAATTTAGAATTAACTCATTGCTTCAGTAAACGGAATGTAAATATACAACTCCTACTGCTGAAATTGAGTGCATGGTGTGTTTAAAAAAATTGCTGTTCATGAGAAATCAGTGCACTGTCAACTCGTCAATTCCTGTCTTAAACTACATCCTTATTAAACACTAGAAAACTGATAGGGAACAAGTCTCGACTAAGACAAATCTATAGAGAACCTCCAAATACGTCACACAAAGCGAAAAGTCGTTTAAATTCTCAACATACCACAGACGAGCTAGTCCAGCAAATATGAACAAAAACACCATTATAACAGCACCAACCGCCACAAAATTGACAGAAGATCTCGACTCTCCTCGGTCATCGTCCTCCTCAGTATCTTCCTCGACATCGTCGGTACGCTGGGACGCAGTTTTCTTCTTCTTGTAACGTTTTCGTTTTTCGTTTGGTGGTCCAGTCCTAGGATCATGCGCAGTCCAGCGGAGGCCAGGGGATGTTATCTCATAATGCGCGCTTGATTTGTGATGCTGCGCCTTAGAATCGGTGCCACTTTGTGTTGGGCGTTCATCCTCTGTCATCCGGGGTTTAGGAACATCGTGCGCATGCTCTGAATGATCGTTGTTTGTATTGCTTTTGTCTTTGTTATCGTGTTTTGCTGATTCAGCACCTTCTCCGTTAGTCTTCGAAAAGAACCTGTCATCATTCTCAGTCGACAAAGGTGTTAAGATCACGGGTAGTTTAACTTTCTTCTGAATTGGTACGTCTGGAAGGAAAAATACCATGTAGATATTATGTTAACAGCAGAAAAATTAACCACCACTTAGCGTTTTTTTCACGAAAACACCTAAGACAGACAAAGGGAGGGAGGGTAAGAAAAATTTCCATTCAAATTCCGGTTACTGAAATAGTAGATGGCACTATCTACCTCATAAATCATTGTCCAGTGGATAGGTATTACGAAAAGCAATTGCGTTATCCCTTAGTTAGAGGTTTATCCGGGAAAAAGGTAAAGCGCTATCCTCCTTTGGAACAATTGGGGCCAGGGATCCGTTTCTCGAACGTCCCGATTACTGTAACGATCCTTTAAAGTTGTTGTTGTTGTTACATTTAAGATTGTTTAATTAGTTTTTCAGTTACAATGATAAAACTATCAGCTGGCTAAACAAAAAGACTGGTTTGTTAACTAGGAACCCCGTTTCTATAGAGTTTTGATTTGAATATTTTATTTTGGGCCCGAAACTTTGGTCTCGTGTCGTCCTATCCATTTGAATCGTAAGTTATGGTTACAAGTTAAAGTATAGGTTGCTCGTGTGTCATTAAGGAATGGCTCCTCACCCCTGCTCCTCATTGATTACTAGCTTTTACCCTCATTTTTTCTTCGTTTCGTTTCGCACTTCCTTTATCTCTGATTATAACAGGGCAGTGTAATTTTTGGTGCTGATATTGCACTTTTTAAAATCATATGAGCTTATACAAATCTTTACATTTGGGAATTATATCACTTTTATAAAACTTCAAGTCCTCGATTTTTCTTTTATGGTCATTTAGTTTAATTCTAGTCATGCCAAATTAATCAGGGAATTTTAAAGTCTTTCGTTCCTTGGTAACAATTCAATTATTTTTCTCGCCTCAGTCTCTCTCTAAAAACGTTGCAGTTTACAGAAAACAATTTATGTTCATAAACCCCGATTCACCCCATACACCTTGTACTTAAAGCTATAAATAGCAAACGGATTAAATCAAATCAAAAGTCTTAAAAAGTGGCGTAAATTTAAATCAAAATAAAAAGTAATAAAACTAATAGGTGCGACAAGTCACGCGATAAAGAGAATCGACCTTTCAAAACGAAACCGACGTCTCTTTAAGAAAAAGGAGACTGGCAAAGTTTTAAGTGAAAGGTTCAATCCCCTTTGAACCAGACCCCCCCCCCCCCCCCCCCCCCCCCCCCCCCCACCCCTCCACCCCTACCTCCCTCTCCCTCCCATCATAAACTAAAAACTTAAAATTCTCCAAAACTAAATTATTTACACACATCACCATACACAACACAGATAAATAACACCACAAAACAATAATAAACAAAAAAAAAAAACATAAAAAAAAAAAAAAAGAATAAAACTAAAAAGGGCGAACAGGCAACGGATAAAAAAAAACGACCCTTCAAAACCAAAACCAAGTCTCCTTAAAAAAAAGGGAACCGGCAAAATTTTTAAGGGAAGGTTCAAACCCCTTTGAAACAAGCCCCCCCCCCCCCACCCCACTAAAAATTTCCTGAGACTCATTTCTTAATTCACCCGAGTAAGTAAATGTATAAATCCATTAGTACTCCCCTTAAAGGAGCTGTGTCACGAAATTCAGCCAAATTAGGAAATTTCAAAATGCCCCTTAAATCATGAGAAACATAAAAATAACCGCTTAAAACTTTAAAGGAAGGTTAAAATAACATAAGAGAAACAACAGATGCCACGGATGGGCAAAACTGAAGAAGACTTGATTGATTGAAATAAGGGATTGAAATTAGGGTTTTTGAAAACTGTTCAGCCTAACAGTTTTTCAATTTTGGTCCCTGCTGCTTGCAAGTTCAAAAATAATGCTCAGGAGACATGTTTGTTTGTCTCGGATTTCTGATTTTGTCATTTACATGTAATTTCTTTGCTTACTTTAAGTTCCATAGCGATTGAGGGCGAGTAATTGGCAAAATTAAACAAAATGAACTGGACTGCCGTGACAAAGCACCTTTAAGAAAACGATTCTGAAAATTCTGAAAATATTTCTTGCCTGTAGCAGATGTTGCTCGCACTCGATCGAACATAGACGCCTTCTTTAATGGCGAAGCTGAAGGTCTTACTCCAATACGAGATAAAACACCAGCTTTTTGCCTTTTGGCCAATCTTCGCATTCCAAGCTTGCGCATGGTCAAGATTTTCTCGATATTCTCATTCCTGGGATCCATGTTTCCTCGTTCTTTACCAGTTGTTATCGAGCTGTCGGTGGAGCTGAGGTTGGTATGCCTGTGTCCTGCATACAGCGGAGTGGGACTCCATCTCTGAATAGACTCTTTATTGTCAGTACCCACAGAAACAGGGTTCTTCCCTGCTGAAAATTTCAGAAGGCGTAAAAGAGTGAATATTTTTTGCGTATATACTGTACGATTAAAGCTCTTTAATATAGAAGTAACCTATTTATCGAAAATTCGCGAGGAAGAAAGTTGGATTGGTAAGCCTTGTAACATGGTGCAACATTCATACGCACGTGCGCCATACTGAACCTCATAACTATTTTAGACACAACAAAAGCTTTCTGGAGCAAGTCATTTTTCCAGAAAGTACTCCAAATAAACTATAATTTGTGCAGTCATTTCAGGGCTGGAAGGACATTTTGCCATTCAATACTGATACTTTGCCATCTTATTTCAACAAACAAAACGTGCAATACTTCGACAACAACGTCCTTGCACATCCAGCGCATTCAAAGTATCGATAAACGACATTTGTAAATTTGCACAATTAAATTAAAGGGAGAGTGACTCCTTATCGTTAAAAATTTTGCTGTTGAACAATAGGGCAAGATAAACCAATATGAATATCGTTTCCACTTCATTTTCGCTTTAGATTAAATTTAACAGAAAATCCAATGAAGTCTTGTAGAAGAATTACGTCATAGACTCGTGCGTATTCCCTTTATGACGTCACGGCGGTTTAAACGCGCACAGGCGCTCAATCTCGACGCCAGATCTCTTGTGCGGATAGTCGCCTGAAGTGTAAGCACTAGGGTCGAGAGTGAGCTCGCAAAGGATTAACTCGTAACTTAGCAACAGGATGGTATTAAACAAAGAAATAAATAGAGATTTCTTGTTTTCATTATTTCCTTTTAAGTTTCAAACTATCACATTGAAAAACAAGCTTATTTCATAAGCTTCTGCATTTGGCAACAGGTTCACTATTATGAGAATACCTCCATGAACTACATTGTTAAAGGGTCTGTAAGTTTGATTGATTGATTGCAGTCGCTTATTTCCCCTCGGCGTCTCTTGTTATAGAATTACACATCCTACTATGTACTTCACGGTCTTATAAAAGGGAGAGTGACTCCTTACCGTTACAAATTTTGTTGTTGAACAGTGGAGCAAGAAAAGCCAACACGAATATGATTTTCCATTTCATCTTTGCTTTAGACTAAGATGAATATAGAATCCAATGAATTCTTGTAGAAGAATAAAAAACTAACGTCATAGACGCATACATGTTCTATTCTTGACGTCATTCTCGGTTTTGATCGCGCGCAGCGCCCTCAAGCTCGACCCCAGTTCTCTTGTTCACATAACCGCCGAGGCGTATAACCACTGGGTTCGAGAATGAGCTCGATCGCAAAGGATGAACGCGTAACGTAGCAACGGGATGGTGTGAAACAAAGAAATAAATAAAGATTTCTTTTTTTCATTATTTCCCTTTAAATTTTCAAACCATCACATTGAAAAACTACTGTTATTTCATGGGCTTCTCAATTAGCAACAGGTTCACAATTACGAGAACTTCATGAACTGCATTGTTAAAAGGCCGTAAGTTTGATTGATTGATTGATTGCAGTCGCTTATTTCCCCTCAGCGTCTCTTGTTATAGAAATTACACATCCTACTATACTCCAATATCTTAAAGGGAGAGTGACTCCTTACCGTTACAAATTTTGTTGTTGAACAGTGGAGCAAGAAAAGCCAACACGAATATGATTTTCCATTTCATCTTTGCTTTAGACTAAATTGAACATAAAATCCCATGAATTCTTGTAAAAAAGGATAAAAAAACTAACGTCATAGACGCATACATGTTCTATTCTTGACGTCATGCTCGGTTTTGATCGCGCGCACCGGCGCTCAATCTCGACCCCAGATCTCTTGAGCACATAATCACCAGAAGCGTAAGTACTGGGGTCGAGAATGAGCTCGCAAAGGATGAACACGTAACGTAGCAACGGGATCGGGATGGTGTGAAGTAACAAATGAATGGAGGTAGTTTTTCTTTTTTTTAATCTTTTTTTCATTATTTCTCTTTTAAATTCAAAAGATTAAATTGTAAACTAGTGTTGCTTTATGGGCTTGCACTTTTACGCATTCGGTTTACAATATTATGAGAAGATCGTTATATGCATCGTTAAAAGGCCTGTAAGGTTGATTGAACTCAGGCGTTAATTTTTCTAAAGCGTCATCTGTTAGATAGTTTTACATCTTATCTGCCTGCGCTACAGCTATTTCAAATATTTCAAGGACGGTGTAACGATGAGCACGGAATGAAATTTTTTAATAAATAAAATAATAATTACTTGTCAGTACTTAGACATCAAGACAAACTCGTCGGAAATTTATGGGTGTTGTAAACGCCAACAAAAAAGCGTTCATATACAGAAAAGACGAGGTTGGATTTAGGATAAGATTCGCGCTTACCTTTACAATCTTTGCTTTTCAATAGAATGAGTAGCAAAACCAACGAAAATATCGTTTTCCGTTTCATTTCTACTTTGGAAATCCAACGCATTCTTTTTTAAAGAATGGAAATTAAAGCAAACGTCACAAAAGCCGGTTTAATTATTGGGACTTCGATCGATTTTGCTCGCGCGCACCGTTACGCGCGCGTTGAAAAACTTATTTTCATGAGAACATGGTGTTGCTCTGGGCCCAGTTGTTCGAAGGCCGATTAGCGATTAACTCGGAGTTAAATTTAACCCGGGTTTCTTTCTCTTGTGTTCAAAAGCATTTTCTCGGATAATTTTCCCTGTTATTTTTAGAGCTTCCAATGATCAACTTGTAGACAAAACGAATTAAAACTGAAATACTTTTTAAGCTTTCAAATCTGAATTCAAATCTCGCACTAACCCTGGGTTATCTTAACCCTACTTATGAACAACTCGGCCCTGATCTTTACCGTATGAATTTTGAAAGGGCGGCTTGGCTGACGACGAGATCGAAGGGATTGGAACTAAACGTTTCGAACGTTAGCCCTTTCACTTTTAACTGTGCCTTTAACACATTTTCTTTACCACGCAACCTACTTTTTGCACGCGAATTTAGCAATTTCGGTTAGCTTAGAATCTCAAAAACGACAGGCTGGCTTAGTCATCCCAGTCAGTCCGAGGAAGAGCTTTGCCGCCCTGTTTTTCGTATGATCAAAAAGTTTACAATAAAGAATTCGGAAAACCAGCTAAGAACCTGCTTTCTCCGTGTCTCTAGTGACTGGCACTTTACGTCATTCTCGTCTCCCCTTTTTATATGTTATTTAGAATAAGGCTATTTTTACACCGGACCGGATAGCTTTTGCGCCGGCGCGAAAACCATGCCGTTATCAAGAACAGTGATTTTAGCGCGATTTTCTGTAACCGCGTGGAGATGCACCGCGCCGATCTCGAATGAGGAGCGTCACATATCTGATTAGCCTGAGAAAACAGCCGACTTTTCACGACGCCACCACGAGTTTCCCCGCGAAATGACGTCTGAGAAACGAGCGCAGAAACTCTGTACTGATGACGTGTTACTACCCAGATCTGGGTACGCGGCACGACCAATCAGAAGCACCACTACTCAGATCTGGGTGAGATCTGAGCTCTCGAACTCTTGAAACTCACATTATTCCAAATGGTAGACTGGTCGTTTCCCTGTCTCTCCAATTATACTCTCTTGCAGTGTACCCAGCCTGCACTGACGGTAAGTTTTATACTTATACTTTTAAATAACAACTACTTTTCCAGTGTACCGATTTTCCATAAAAGCCACTGCAATGTTACCCTTCACGGTCACTGTAATTCCTTTTAGTTCGCGTACTGTTTCATCGAGTTGAATTGGAATTTTTCGAACGAGTTCGCCCTTTACAGTGTATATAGCCAGCCTCAGGCGATTTGTCTTTTGTTTAAAGGAAGCAACGACGAGGTGCTCACCCGTAGGGTGATGTGCAATGAAATAATCGTCATCTTCATCGATGCCGATATTAAATTTGGCAAGCTGTCGACCCTCTTCAGTGAAAACGTAAACGCTGGAATCACCTTGGTCTAAAATCGTGATGCGACCATCACAAGTAGCACTGATATCCGTTGCATCCTTGAATACTCCATCGCCTAATCTACCAAGGAACTCGCCACTGAGCTCATAAACATCAATAGCGTTTGCTTTCAACATCAGCACTTTTTTCCTGCTCACTGTTAGTTGAAGTCTGCCCCGCAGAGATAAAACTGAACTGTTCCTCACCAGAAACTTGTGCTGCAGTTCAGCGGTATTATTAAAAACCTGAACTTCCATCTTTTGTTCAAGAGCCACACGCTTCTTCAGCGTGACGAGTAGATAGATCTTGTCGTCCATGTCCTCCGAGCAAGTGGCGATATCCCAAACATTTACTTCTACTTCTACATCAGCGTAATCAAATCTAGGTAAAAAACTGAAAACATACTTTCCGTTGTTATCAAACACCTTCACATGAGTACACGTATTAACCCAAGACAGGGTTCGGCCTGGCCAATTGTCTGCTATAAGGAAGTGTTGCTTGGTGTTCGTAGCGATACCAACCGGCTCGTTCAGTCTGTCCTCCTCTTGACCAAATGACCATAGTACAGAAGAGTGCTTCAGGCCTTGTTTCGTCAGTGCGTCAACAACTCTTCCATCCCGCAGTGGATCCACTTCCTCTTTCCCCGTATCAACCAAAGGCAACGTCCACAGATTTCGAATTTCAAGCACTTGCATGACATCATGGATCACACGATTTACGTGACAGACGGAAAAAATTATTTGCCTTCGTTTTTCTTTATTAAATCGAACTCTTAATCTTACTCCTCTTTCCAACTCAATTTTGAAATATTCTTTAACAGCTGGCAGTTGGTGCAACTCGTCAAGGTACACTCTGCAAGCTGCTAATGCGTCAGTAGGATTGTCAACTGCGCTCAGTATCGTAGCCATCAGTCGATATTGCATAGCTAACAGGCGATCAGGTAAGTCCAAAGCTTCATCACTAAAAGCTTTCATTGCTTCCAGACGAGCTTCATTAAATTTCTCCAACGCTTTGCTAAGCTTCTTCGTAGCTGATTCATCCAATGCAGTTTGCTCCAATTTACTACTCAATTCTTCAGTTTCATCTATTCTGGTTTCGGCTGTAGCTTGTGTGTGTGAAGTTACCGCGCGATGCACGGTTCTGGATCTGGCACTTTCAAACACTTCATACAACAGCTCGATTCCTTCTTTAAAAAGACTGATACTTGCTAATAAATCCTTTCTTGCTAGCCCATCCAACTTCGACTTAAGTTCATCGATTTNGCGTCAACAACTCTTCCATCCCGCAGTGGATCCACTTCCTCTTTCCCCGTATCAACCAAAGGCAACGTCCACAGATTTCGAATTTCAAGCACTTGCATGACATCATGGATCACACGATTTACGTGACAGACGGAAAAAATTATTTGCCTTCGTTTTTCTTTATTAAATCGAACTCTTAATCTTACTCCTCTTTCCAACTCAATTTTGAAATATTCTTTAACAGCTGGCAGTTGGTGCAACTCGTCAAGGTACACTCTGCAAGCTGCTAATGCGTCAGTAGGATTGTCAACTGCGCTCAGTATCGTAGCCATCAGTCGATATTGCATAGCTAACAGGCGATCAGGTAAGTCCAAAGCTTCATCACTAAAAGCTTTCATTGCTTCCAGACGAGCTTCATTAAATTTCTCCAACGCTTTGCTAAGCTTCTTCGTAGCTGATTCATCCAATGCAGTTTGCTCCAATTTACTATTCAATTCTTCAGTTTCATCTATTCTGGTTTCGGCTGTAGCTTGTGTGTGTGAAGTTACCGCGCGATGCACGGTTCTGGATCTGGCACTTTCAAACACTTCATACAACAGCTCGATTCCTTCTTTAAAAAGACTGATACTTGCTAATAAATCCTTTCTTGCTAGCCCATCCAACTTCGACTTAAGTTCATCGATTTCACGGACGACCAGGCCGCGGAATTTCTGATCTGTAACATCACCCTCATTCAACTTTTCTGCCAGTTTATCTCTTTCTTTATTCACCAGCAGGCCGATAGTGGTTTTAAATACAGCAGTTATTGGTGAAGAGAATGT